CTCTCTTTCATCACCCCCTGGCCTCCTGCCGTGGCTGCAACATCCTCATATGTGTGTGTGTGTGTGTGTGTGTGTGTGTGAGAGAGAGAGAGAGAGAGAGAGAGAGAGAGAGAGAGAGAGAGAGAGAGGAGGAATCTGGATGGGGTTGAGGAACGGTGCAGAAAATGGCGATTCTGCACCTCTCCACAAACACCTCCAGATTTAGGCGTGAAATCCTCTGTGGAGACTGGAGGTGTTTGTGAAGAGGTGCAGAGTCGCAATTTTCTGCATCTCTCCGCAAACACATCCTGTGGAGTTGTGCATAGCGAACATGATCACACACACACACGCACACAGAGCCTATGCAGTTGGGTCGGTGTGTATAAGCTGAAGATCTGAAGAAAAATGAGCAGGAGTATACCTCCCGCTTTACTCTGCCTCCTTTCATAGCGCGCAAGTGGGCCGTTAAGGCACACAGGGATGTGGGCAGCTGGCACTAAACCACAGTCGACGTGGCAGCCATGTACGTGACAGGCACAGTAAAGAGGGAGAGAGCAAATAATAGGGGTACCCTAAAGAGAGCCAAAGTAAAGAGAGTCAAGAAAGGGACATAACGGATCTGTTCTGCTCCATGTCGCTTGCAATAGAGGTAGAACATTGTTGGATTGGCTCATCGCAAGTGTGCTTCATTGTCTGCAATAGAGGTAAAGCTGGTTCAATTTTGGATTGGGTGGAACAGGGGCTTTTGTGGTGAAAATTTACAACACACTGAAGACAAGAGATCAACGACGATGATGGCAAATGACGAGAACGGTAAGGATGATGATGATCTAAGTGATTGCTTTAGGACCTTAGCGTACGATCTGCGCGATGCTCAGTTGCAAGCATTCAGAGTTTCCTTGGGACTTTTGCTCAATTGATTAAAAAATATGAGGCAACCGGGTTATGAATGAGGCAATGGCGATGACTACAACGACCACCTTGTTCATTGTCTTCATCCTTGCCATTGCCCTCTCTCCCTCTCACACACACAGAAAAACACACACTTATGACACGTGCACAAAAAAAAGAAAAAAGAAAAAGGTGCTAAAAGATTGTCTACCGCGTGGGCGCGGGGATCGCAGCCCTAAGGTAGCCAAATTAATGAGACTAAGAGCTTGCACGAGAGAGAGAGAGAGAGAGAGAGAGAGAGAGAGAGAGAGAGAGAGAGAGAGAGAGAGAGAGAGAGAGAGAGAGAGAG